TATGACAATAATTAAACTTCATAGGTTGATGATCTTTTGTGGTTTATTAATTGTAGTTTCATAATGCATTTCTTTTTATTTTGCTTCTTTATATTAATAAAAAAAAAAATTGTGAGTTAGTTACCAATATTATACCCTGGTCACTAGCTAGCAAAATGTACGTCTCTGTTTGCTGTGGCTTAAAGTAATAAACATCTTTTTTTCTTTATCGTATAAAATAATCAAAATTTTTATAATTTTACAATTTAGTTACATAATTAATGCATTGTATTAATATTTCATTTTTTTTATTTTGTTGAAGAACTAACATAGTTTATATTTTAATAGTACCTAACATTTAAATTATGATAAATTGGTAAAAATCGATAAAAATTGTAGATTGTTGACATTTCTAAAAACAACACTAGTCTCATGCGGGATATATGATTGAATTGCTTATAATTATCCTGACACATTCCTTAAAAATATGCCATTCATTTTAACATTTTAGTAACGTTATTACACTTAATAAGTAACATTCTATGTCCTGGTTTTGTTAACTGTCTACGGAACCACTTTTTATAAATTTTTCTCAATATTTTTAGTTTCGAAAAATGTGACCCAACTCTGTCCACAATGCGGTGGGTCACTCAATGAGTCGATGGTTAATGTGTAAATATTGTTACATCGATTTACGAAGTCGCACACAACTCGATTCTTGAAGTATCGACTAGAGTATCGACGACTCTGTGTTTTGTATTGATAAAAAATGAGTAGCCCTTAAAGTGGTAATACATATTAAGTTTTCCCTAAAATAATGGTTCAAATAGAAAAAAACTGGACTAGACCAAAATGATCGTATATTTTTTAATGTAATATAATGTATATTCGCATGTTTTTTTAAATAACTTTGGTGCATTCAAAATTTTTATCCATACTCGTAATAAAATTTATTGGATGTAAGAATACAACGAAATATATAATTCCTTTAGTAAAATTCATTAAGGCTTAAAAACGGTATCTTTGAAAATCTCGTGTGGTCAATGGAAATTATGTAGTTATCTATTCTGGTAGTTTAATGTCATAGTCAATGTCAAAAAAGGTAGCATTAATATATATAATAACTAGCTGTTTTAAAATCAGTCCAGAAATTTCTAAGCTTTTCAATGCAAACAAACAAACAATCAAATCTTTTCTATTTATATTATTACCTCTAGTGTTGAGTTATAAATAAATGAAATACATATGTCATTTATGGTGATTCTAGAAATCGGCTCCTCAGAGGCAATTTAAATATTCAATTAGAATAAACTGCCACCAGCTCACCATGTTGGGGGTCGCGTCCCTTATAGTTTCCTTCTAATCCCGAAACCAAACTTTGCACCTAACGGACTCCCGGTGACAAATTATTGCTGACCTAACTCTAACCGACTGAACCAACAGCGGTCTCTATTTGAATCTCTTGTAATCAGTAGCTGAATGGAATAAGGGTGCCCAAAATTTAGTGTAATAAGTTTTCGAATGGGTAATTTTAAATTTGTAGCAAACTGAAATATATATTCACATGACGCAATGTATTCTTAAATATTCTTTATTTTCTATTTGTTGGAATCGTATAAAAACTAATTATGCATTACCAAAAATGAATTCATCATCTTTGTTGGCAAAGCTTTAGATATTTAATAGAAGACTGCAGTAATTATTTTGTTGTAGTTTTACAAATTATTTTGATATATTTTGTGACTACTTATATTAGAAATAACTTCTTATCAAAAACCATTTCAATTTTTATTTATATATCGACAAAGGATAGTTTTATAAAAAAAAATATCATTAAACATATTTCTCGGAAGAGAGAAAAAGATGCTAAAATTATATAAAACAAGAAGGTACCTAGCAATCATATAATAAAAAAATAATTATCCTTGTATTCACTAACTGTTGGTGACACTAATATTTTTCTCTTTTTTAGTTCCACAGTCTAACATCGTACTTTTCAAATCTTCACAGGTTGGTTTTAAGGTCCATTTTATATTATCAGAGTATGGTTGATTTTTTATTATTTTCCGAACAACTCTAATTCGTCGGCTACGCCAGTCACCAATGCAAATACTCGTGTCGTCGTGAATATGTTGTGTAAAGACGTGAAATTGTTTCCAAGCCCGACGCCATGGGAACTGTTGTGATGAAGGAATGTTGGGCGACAATTTGTTGTTCCCCGGTTTGATGTCATCCGCTCGTTAATCATAATATTTTTATAAATATTTTATAATGTCCTCATAAGAAAAATTAAGCATATTTTAATCCTTTTAAAGGATAAAAGAAACATGCTTATTTGGAATCACACTTATTGTGGCTTAATCAAAACGGGTGTTAATGATGAAATAGAGCTATATTTAGTTAGACTTTGATGCATGAAATAGAGCAGGGAGAAAAGATTGCTCTTGCCCTGAAGTAATTAAGGATAATAACATTTCCAAATATTTCTACGAGTACAAATCAACGTGTCTTAATTAACTATTATATTAACTTAACCAATTTTTTTGACAAAGAGTATTGAAATAGTAGCACAAAATACTCAAACAAGCTTTATAGCTATATTTTTGACAATAAGTATTTAAATAGCAGCGAAAATACTCGGATAAGTATTTTCCCCAGGGGAAATAATTAATTAGCAATAACAATAGATAAATAACCGTTTTATTTAGAAATTTTAAGGAAAGTTTATGTCTAGCCTTAAAGTTAATGCTTAAAATTAACAGCCTAGCTAGACTCAATAATCGATACTGATTTGAGATTTATAAATAGAGTTAATTTCGAACTGTTTAGCTTTTAAGGTCAATAATAAGCCACTAATACAATCCTCAAAAACTAATAGACAGAAAACTTATAAATGTCTGATTTTGTTGGTCTAAAAACCCAAGTTCGATTCCTTAGGCCATACAGGGAAAATCTAGTCTCTCGTGTTTGGGCGATGTGGAACCAATGGAAAACAACGAAAGTGTTAAATATCCATAACCTACGGACACTAGGCTAGGCTTTAGCTACTTTACTAAGTTCGTATTTGAACAATATATCGGTGTTCTTTCATCATCATCATCATCACCAGCCCTTTTACGTCCCCACTGCAGGGGCTCAGGCCTTCCTTATGGATGGTTAAGGAAGATGGGCCATGACCCTCCACGCTGGCCCAATGTGGATTGGAGGATATTAACGACTGCAAATGCAGCCAGGACCAACGGCTTAACGTGCCCTCCGAAGCACGGAGTAGCTCGAGATAATAATTTTTTGGTCACACATCCTGTGACCGACCCTTGCGAAAGTTGCTTAACGACTACGAACGCGGGCCGCGGCGGTTATCCATTACGCCACCGAGCTATAGCGGTGTTCTTTGTTCTTTGTACTTGTTTAATTAATCGATTTGACTATGTTAGACTAGCGAAACAAACGCAAATGAGATCAGTTTCCGCTCGTATCTATAGTGCAGTGAAATAATAACAAGAATATTTCATAACTGAAGCAAATATTGTTTTATAAATAATTAAACTATATTGAAATGAGAACTTGTAATATTTAGGGTAGGTACTATTATTATTAGCTATTAACAGTTCTTCATCATCATCATTCATCATTTATCATTAGCCTCTTAATGTCCCCACTTCAGGTTAGACCTTCTCTATGGATGGAATCGAATTAATACTCCATACTAAATACTCAAACATTTACTTTCAAAAGAATGTGTAAAATAGATGTTACAATTACCTATATAGTTGCTTATGAACAAGCATGACTCTATCGGGTAGGACAATTTAAAATATATAAGTCAGTAGTGAAACAATGATTTACTGACACAATAATCAAATTGAATACGAATAACAGTTCTTCAAAATCTCGTCTATTGGTTAAAAATATTTGCTTAGAACCGAAATGTCAAAACTTAATGACATTTTTTTCTTAAGTCAAGCGTGGAACGTCTTGATATCTCATTAACAGTAGTTCCATTTCTATTCTAATTTTGGGGGTATGTAATTTAATATTTTTGAAAAATATTTATTAATTAAGTAAAATAGTAAAAACATTTTAGAATTTCATTCACTTAGTCTGTGAAAGTCTAAAATATATTTTTTTAAATATCTTCACGATGACGTGGACCTTCTTTCATTATAATAAAAGGAAATCAGGCCATGACCCGCCACGCAGGCCGAGTGTGTATCGGTGGGTGTTAATGGTTTCAGATTCAGCCAGGACCAATGACTTAACAAATGTTTCGAAGAACAGAGGAGCTTTGGGAGGAGTCTGGAAAAGTTCGTTTCTTCTTCATTAAGTTTTTTTTTATGTATTTTCAATATATCTTTTCGCATATTATAGTCATTCTGACAGAAAACCTTATAAATAAATGAAAAAAATATTGGATCGTAATTTAAGTCATCATTTCCTTATATTTTTTGCAAAGTAATAATATTTTCTGTCTTATTTTAAGCTTTCTTTTCTTAAATCGCTCATAGAGAGATTGAACTTATAGGAATACCTTGATGTTCCTTTATCAGTTTCTCAAATCAGTTTCTTGATTTTTGTATCGGGTTTATTGTTAATGTGCTGTGCTTGTTCACTTGTGGGTTGTATAGTAATAAATAATAACATATTATCTGATTCATTTGGGGCGGGGCCTGGTGACCTGAAATACGGGATTGAACCTAAACAGGCACCAGTCTCCCACAAATGCCCCTTAATAGTATAACCTTACTCTACATCCTTTTGTAATGTTATTTGTGGTGGAAATAAAAATTATAATTATTATAAATATATTAACAGTTTATAGAACTGTATCCGAATTTAATAACCATCTGTATTATTTTATTTAGCTTTTGAAAGGCCGATTAACGTAAATCCACACTGGAAGTCCTTATAATGAGAATAACTTGCAAGTAACATTTTCAGTGAAAATCTCTTACACAAGCACCCTAGTAAAAATTAACAATTATTGAATTTAAAAGGTATCCCAGAAATAAAACAAAACTATATAATGTAATAATAATTTAATTTCACAAACACAGACATTATGTTTGTCCGCTATAAATAGGTGAACTATACAAATAATGATTAAGTTAATAATACACTGGCTCTGTACTTCAAAATAATCTATTAAAGCTAACCGTATTTCATTGGATTTAACAGTAATATAAATAGTTAACAAAGAGTCAAGTAATACTAAAGAAATTAGGAATAGAATGTACAATTTATATTACTCGTTTCAATGTTCCCTGCTAAAGCTGCAAGCATCTTATTGCTAAAAAATCATAATCTGTATAAGTATACAAATAAAAACCATTTTGATTCAACACTTGTCACAAACATCACTCAATAATTTACATAACATAAACATTCACAACATGCATTCTGGTGGAATGAAGACTAATACTAAAATCTACTATAAACAATATCAATTTTAATGAAATTGAAACTAAGGTGGAGTTTAGTGAGAAATAAATAAGTTAATACCTTGACTAGGATAATCGGGAAATTTTGAATGTTACATTATTACCAGCAGACAATAAATTAAAAAAAAAAGTTTTAAATTCGTCGCTATTTACATTAAAAGGAACTAATCCGTTCTAGACCAAAATGGCAATGTAATGGCAATGACCTCTCTTTTACTAAGTTTATTTACTAAACAACAGCCAAAGAAAATAATTTTACTAAGAGGAATTCGTTACAGATCAACTTTCAAATGTTGAGGAACATTGGGTGCTGGAAGTAAAATTACAAAAGTAACGGTTTTGAGACACCCTATATTACAACAGCCGTCTCCTTTATAACAAATCTTCTCCAAGTAACAGATGAGTAATTGACAATATTACATAAAAAAAGTTAAGTACAACGCGGACAATATTTTGGCCATGGAAATAGCCTCGTAATTCACTTTGTCTACAATTATAACACTACGTCGACAACGTGTTCACATCTAAGAGATGCGTGATTTTGGTGAAACGCGAAGGAAGTTCCTCATATTTAGCTAACTTATACTAACACAACCAAGTTGACGCCTCAAGCGGTCGGGGGTACGTCCGATTCGGACATGGTCTCGAATACTTGCATGATGTATTCTAGATAGTTGAGCGTGTCCCTGTAGATGTAGAGACCGAGCTCGAGTTTGTTTGACTTATTGATGTCCGGAATTTCCGAATCGTACACCGGTAAAATTTTTAGTTTTCTAGCATTCATTAGATCCTGTAACAAAATAAAAAAAAATTAGTTATATTAAAATTAATCTGTTGATACTCTATTTATCTAAGCGAAGATCTGAGTAAAATTTAGAGCACCTATTGTAACATTTATATCAATATTTATTCTATTTCTATTATGACTATGTTTCAGATTTAAAGACCGCATAATTTATATAGATAAAAATGAATCCCTATTTCCCTTGACCGTATGTCCCATCACACTGGACCGGTTCGAGCGATTTCGCTAATTCTTTTTTTGTTGTGTTTGTTATTGTCATAAGAAAGTTATGAAAGATAAAAAATTTGAATATTGTGTGGAAATATTCAAAATTTAAGAATACTTAATGACCATATAAATTTATTTCTAATCTTATCTTAGTGCTTTGGATAATATAAACGTTTTTAATGTAACCTTATGATGTTTGACATAGAATTGACAGAATGCGTGCAAATATTAAAATTTATTTGACAACATCAGACAACGTCTGTCGGGTTAGCTAGAAAGCTATAAAGATAAGAATTATTTAATAGTTTATTTTCACGGGTCAATGAATATGTATTCAAAATACTTACATAGAAGTAGCAAAGTACAGCTCTAACTTCATTCATAGTAGTCAATATGTTATTGGCCAGCTCCTCGTCAGAGCTGATACCGTCGTTCTTCAGGCTGAGACTGAGCTTGTAGAGGCTTGCCATTATCATTTTCAGCGCCTTGTACATAGAGGGCAATACATCGTCGATTTTTGTCTGTTAACAAAAGAAAATAAACATGTTTATGTTATTAAAATAAATAAAATTAGGATATCATATAAATTAATTGCCTTAATGACAAGATAGATGAAATGAATACATATTAAGTTACATTTCTTATCATTTCGAAAAAGAAACACGTAACTTTAAAACGATAATATAGTAAGAACGTAGAGATAAAGAATTAAGAGTATATTTAAATACGGAAGTGTTATTTTCCAGTGAATTATCTCGTCGAAATTGAACGCATGTTAATCAATTTTTTCGTATCTCATTCGTGATCGATCAATGACATACGATGGAAACCTCCAAATTGCGAAACGATTGTGTTCTCACGTAACAGCGACCGACAACGGTCAACAATGAGTGCCACCGACGAAGCTGATTCTCTGGAACCGGACGAAAAACTCTTACGGATGCACGTTTTTGACGTCAGCGAATTCGCCGGTCGCCATCATTGTTCTCGTTTAGGAAACAAATATCGTAGCGCGCATTCTCACGATACAATTAATTTAGAAACTTTCGCGTTCCAAATTTTATGGTGACCAGAAAAAAAAATTGCGACTAGTCAGGGGAATGCAACAAATTAGCATTTAATAAGATAAAATTCACGTCGTCACTCCTCAGAATTTGTGTTAACGACTACCGCCTAACAATAACAATCGGACCACGGTTCAATAAACCTTTGAGTATGTTTAAAAAAGTAGTCTACTGTTTCTTCATTTAAAAATTCTTACCATCAAGTCTGCTACATATTCATCAGGGACTCTTTGGAAAAGCACCTTTGTCTCTGGCAATACTTCTTCACGGAACCACGGGAATTTCCTGAGCCAGTCATCCTTCCACTCCTTTAATAGGATTTCGAACGTATCGTAACTGTGCAATTTCGTCTGTAACAAGAGAGAATATATCGTCAGAATTCTTCATAGACAACATAATAAACGTAATGGGACATCGATCTACAAGTAAGATTGACTCTATTCAATTAGCGTTAATTTTATTATGAAATGACTTAAAATATAGTATTTTAGTAACAAATTATCTATTACTATTATATGAAGCAAGAAATTTGTACGAAAATTACGCGAAGAAGAATGAAGTTTGTAACAATTTTAGTCATAGAAGAAGTACAGAAAACTTCGACGTATATACTTTTTTTTTGTTTTAACGGCAAATTTTAAGATAAGATGTATTCCAATAATTTCAAAAATGTCACCAAATGCAAACAATGCTTAAATAAAAAACTTGTGATCGCTTAGTATGATTCATTAGCCCAACTCTACACTGGGCCGTTATAATTCTATGAACTGTATGAAAATAGAAACAAGTAGGTACAATGCGTTGATTGACTTCTATGGAACGAGTGGGATACTAACGGAAGATGAACAAATGCGGTATCCTGTACGACTGTATATATAAGACTTGCAATCCTGAGTAACCTTAGTAAATGGTTAGATACGCACCAGAAACTAATTTTTAATATAGCAAATTAAAAATAGTTTCATTTTAAAAGTGCTCTGTTATAGTGCTTACACGTGAGTATGATCTGTCTTAAATTTTTAAACTTCAACAAAACAATATGCTTTAATAATAGAGATCTGTGTCACAGAACAGAATATTGTCGCAAGGCATACAAACTGATCTTATCTCAGTCAAATAGTTCAAATGGAAACCAATAAATAACTTTTGTATTTTGTCTTAAGAACAGACTCAGAGCAACTATTCTCCTATAATTACTTTAGAAATTACATTTTACTATTTCTAATATTTAACCAGATTCAAAAAATTTATAAGTTTAAAGTAATAAATATAAATTTTACTAAAAACAATAATCATCAAGGGAGAGAAGAGTTCAAGTAGGACAATTTTTTCCTTTCCCAAATATTTTAATGTAAAAAATAATAATTTTAATATTAAAAATTTGACTTTCTTCATGAACTTTACGACGTTAATAAAGATAATAATATAAAAGCGCTCACACGCTGTTGCTACTGCATTTTGTTCCTAGAAAAGACAATCGTTAGAGCGCGCTTAGATGATAGATAAATGACCATCCTAACTTGAACTACATACTATTACGGAATATGCGATGCGACGGTGCGACACAGTTTGGTTGTTATTGTGTACGCTGTTAAGCGTTCAACTAGATAATCACAGGTATTGGAGCTTGAACACCATGTAATTTTATTCATCAAGAGCGACATTATTGTCTTAAGTGTAAATTTAGTATAAATCTGTATTTCTGTAAGTCACTGTAAAAAAATGTTTCGTTCTTTTATCAACAATCTAGAGTTCATCGAATCTGATAGTTTAAATTACTGAAATCATTGTAACTGTGTTAAAAATTAGAGTAACATCTTGATTAAAATAACTTAAAATGAAATAAGACTCATTATTTATATTTAATTTTACACTATAAAAGTCATATGTTACTTTTTATAGATATCTTTTACTTAGCATAATATTTCGGTCATATATAAAATATTGAGTACATATTAACCGATCAACATTCGAAATTTAATGTCCGAATCCGAACACGTATTTATTTAACGGGATACACAAGGTCATGCGAAAGATGATACCAAGACACTGTTGCAGACATGTCACGTAACACACGACACAACCGTTTCAACATTAAAATTTGACACTATGCCGACCACCATGCCAAGACACGATCAAATAAAAACAAACCCTAGTAAATACGATACAAAGTTCAAATGTATCTAAGCTCCATTCTGAACAGAAGCAGATGCAACATTTTATCAGTGGAAAATTATGCGTCCCCATAGTAAGCTATTTGGCAACAATACGGCTAATTAAAAAAGGCGATTTTGCGTTAAACCTTTGAAAATGGGCATTGTGCAACTTATCAGAGTCGATCGCGTAATGTGGTGCCATTGATAATAGGTTCCAAGAGTTTGATAAATTGGACTTGTATTGTGACACCATAATAATGTTTTTGATAAATCGTAATATCATTTTCGAGTATTTACAAATTCGAAGATAATATTTATCGCAATATTCTTATACGCCGCCAATTAAATTTAATAGAGTCACGATGTTGTTTGATTGCAATTTACTGCGAGTTGTTTTAATTTTAAATATAACAGAGAATCGCTTGCTGCATCTGGATGTAAGAATGATTCATAAGAGTAAAAGTTTGTAAGAATGTCTGTGTAAGCGTTATTGTCTGAAAGAGGAATGCGCTGTTGCAGATACTAGCCAAATTCGCAGGTGTGCGTCCGGTCTCATCGCGTCACACCATATCCAAGATATTACCTACAAATATGTTTCAGCCCTTATATCATATATATACGTATTTTTAATCAGTATCATGCAAATAGATATTTAAAAAAGCAACCACGCCAACAATGAATATGCTTAAGAGTTTAAAAGAAATTTAATATTTTTATGATTTCGGCGTTGATGATGTCATTAATTATAAATTATTAAAAAAGTTTAAATTATTAAAAAGGACGCTATTACTATTATAAGACAATATAATGTACTTATTTAACAATCAAAAACATTTCAGGTACCTAGGTATCAAATTAACTGGAGATAAGAGTAGGTATGTTTTATATACAATTCTGTTTAAAATATATATTTATATACTTTAGTGTCTCTTATTTATTAAAAAGACCTTACAGTCACAAACAATAGTGATAACAAAAAACCCAGGGTGAAGACAATAACAAATAACAAGCAATTCAGTGGAATCATACACCGATACTAGCTGACCTGACAGACGTTATTCTGTCAAATTAATCAGAAAAGATACCTACTAACATTTCCAGAAATTTTCAATGTCCACATTTTGTTGTTCATAATTCTCCAGTCCATACTAGTTTGATAATTACTCCTATATGATCATTGGACATTTAAATTATTTTCCAAGCATTATAATAAAGAAAACTATTGGCATTTGAAGTTACTCTCCATGTATGACTGTGTCAAATTTCATATTTTTCCGTTCGCAATTTTCGTAAAAAGAGGTTTAAAGTTTTTGGTTCACGTGTTAATATAATGACGATAAAAAGTTTATATATCTGAATAGTGGTCGTGGGTGGCGAGAAATTTGAAGACATCCGAGTGTCTAGCTCGCATCGGAAGCTTATCAAATAAACATACATACTCACTCACACACACGCGTGCGGGGACATAATATGTTACATTATTTACGGCACACGTACGCACCAGCGTCGCAGACTGCCTGTCGCCAGTACAACGATATCGTAGGTACTACTTATATACAAACATATAGTAATTCAATGTTTATAGCGTCACTGCCAAGATAAGAGTGTATATGAATGTGCTAGTGTTGACGCGACCACGTTGCCCCCTATCGAATTTCCTTGCGAATGTAATACTCAGATAAAATATATTTTAACGAAATGGCTTTTTTTTAATCAGATTAGAATACCCGAGCCTTAAGATGCGGTAACGTGTCACCGTGTAAAAATTATGAGTGTTGTGAGACATTCACACGGTTGACGGCGAGTCACACATACCGGTAGAGTTCGTTGAATTTATTATTGCGTTCTTAGTAAAGCGGTCAGTTATTATAATATGGAATGGGTTGACGACACTTGCCCTGGCTGCTGTAATTTGGATAAAGTCCTTCATGTATTTTTAGCCGAATCTCTCTAGCTTATTGCTGGTTGCGTAGAGGTTTATAATCGGTAATATTGCGAATGGAAGAACTTAATTATATAAATTATAACGAACGCAAGATTGATTGTTACAGATTCAAACCAAAAACAAAGATCCATTAATCGGCCTTGGTTATCACTAACAATGACGGTTCATCGACTCAGGGTTCGGTCTAAATCGCAATAAGTATGATACATTAGTGATGAATGACCGACATTAAGGGGAGAGACAGAAAAAAAACGTCGGGCAGGTGTGTCGCGCAATACTAATGCGCAATCAATATTCGATGCGTACACACACCGTCCTGTACCGTGGCTCGTTCCGGCTACTGTGAGTCTATAATGTCGTTTTACGAGGCGGTGGTGGCTGACAGGACGTCGCCGTCGTTACGACTGTCGACTATTACAATGCCACCTCATACGTGAACACCATCTGCGACGATGCGCTTTTGGGCATAAAACTATCGGTTGTTCCGCATCCATTGACTCTTCACTCCTCAATAAATTAATCACGTCTATCAACTAAGCCCGAAACATACCCGTTACACGTTCAATAGCAACGTGACGAACGAGTGCAGTGGTAGGGGGTCATCCATAAACGATTCGAGACGCGACATCGACATCGCATTATTGCTCGTTGATCGGTCCACCATACTTCCGATTCGGAAATATAATATTCCTAGGATTGGAATGATAGATACGTCATATGAATTGTCGTATTAACATGCCATGTGTTCGATTCTAACAATTCGTGAATGTATTACGAATTCTAAAATATAGGTTGTCACGTCTCCGTGTTGTTAAAAACGTTCATTTTTATATTTAACTTTTAAACAAATAAATTATAATAGCAGTTAAATGTCAATAGGATATATTAATAGACAAATCATAAGGAAGATGTGAACGGAAGTGACGTTACTCGTATCCGTTGAAATCTATTATCAGCCTGAAACTAATTGGGTGGAGGTCCTGTTTCGCGTGACCGTTGGTATTCGATCGATTGCGCCCAGTTATTGAGGTGTTTTGTAAAATACACACGATGTCTGTGGCAAATGCACCGCAAAATTATAATTAAGAGGCTGAATAGTGTCAAATCGATAAAATTGATCTAGGATTGTACTAATTCACGGGAAACCTATGGTAATCCAAAAATTTGTGGTTATACTTGATCGTATTTCTGATCTTGTGGTTGAAACCGAAACATGATTGTATTAACTTCACTCGATAGAAAATAATTC